TAACCACTATACTACTAGAGATCTTGATATTACGATAGACAACATAAAGCTTAGATTAATTGTTTTGCCTTCTATTTAAGATGTTTTTACTGTATGCTAAAAGAAGAATTTGTATTTAGAAGAATATTGCTTGAATTTATGAACCTGGATGGTCATATCTCACTGCATAGATTTGGCAGGGGGTGGGGGGGTAGGAGGTGGGGGTAGAGTGGGGTGGGGTGGGGGAATTCTCATCTTGGATTCATCCTCTTACTCCCAAATAAAGTGACTATCTCAGATGCATACATTTTAATGAGTGACACCATTTGGGACAAGGCCTCCGGCTGTTCTGCTACAAATTTGCCAAGACCACGAGCCAAATTTTAAGATCCTATCCAAATGGCCCAGCTGTCAGTGGTGACAAACTCAGGATCTGGGCTTACCACATTCCTATAGAATATGATTAATGTGGCTTCCTGACTAAATTTTTTGGGAAAGTGGAAAAGTTATGTGGTTCGTGACAGTTACTCAGATTATATTTGTAATTTTTATTAGCAATTTATTTTCACTTTTCTATTTCAGAATTTGTTCTATGAAAATAAAAAATATATTAGAAAATGCATACCCTTATAACATTTAAATTTTTTAAGCAAAATTATGCAATTACTTCAAATTCTAATTTTTGCTTTGATTTTAGAGGTGAATAAGTAGGCATTTCCTCACTCCTTTTTGTGCTGTACTAGAGTCATCAAATATTTCAACTTGCAGGAAATTTGAATTAGTTATATGGCCTCTAACTTGCAAAATGAAATGCCAAATCATAAGTAAAAATATTTTAAACTTTATTACTTTAAATTTTTCAAGTTTATAATTTTGACATATTACTCAGTTGGAAACTTTCAGATTCAAATTTGTGCTCCATAGAGTAATATTTATTCACCTTAAATTTTCCCTTGATTTTTCTGCTTTCTCTGTACTCATGAGTGTGTGTATACACACTCAGTTTTTTGAGAGAAAAAAGCCTACAAATTGCCCCATACATCGACTTTCCAATAATGGTGATGGGAGGAGTGCTGAAAAATTCCAAGAAATTAATTGTAATTAATCATTCCTAATTCTTGTTCTGGCATTATTTATCTCAGTGTACACCTAAGAATTTATTTTTTAAAGCCAACTCCAGAAATCTTAAGATTTTGGATATAATTTAGCATGATTTCTTTGCTCTGTTGACAGAAAAATTGAAGATTTATAGACAAACTTGCTAAAGTAAACCAATTAATGATGCAATGATTAATTTGAGTTGCCTGAAAAATACACTGTGGTCTAAAATTACATGAATTGATATCAATTGTCTTGAAATTCCAATTGGTTTTGTAAGAAAGAACAATAAAAAATAATCATTTTTTGACCAATATGGCAGCATTGAGGAAGAGAAAGACATAGAGAGGTACATGGGAAGTAGAGACAACAAAGATAAACCCTTTTGCACATACAGTATTGCATTGTCAGTGAAGGCAAACATGGTTATATGGGTGGATAGATGGGTGGACAGGCTGAACTATTAGGTATGTCTATGAAATGGGGAGTGTATCGAAGAACATGTATAGGGTTGGCAGACAATGGACCTATAAGTTTATGTGAATGATCAGAATCCCAGGTGTATAGTAGAGCTGAGAAGGGCAAGGTTGTGGTCACTGCTTGGTCACAGCCAGCTACCCAGAGGGACCGAGTAGTTGAACCTGTGGGCTTGGGAGCATAGTTGCAGGGGACATCAAGCTCAATTGGCATAACATACTATACAAAATATTGTTCCACCTCCTACTTTGGTGAGTAGCAACTGGGATCTTAAAAGATAGCAAGTTGCCATCTAGATGCAACGATGGGTCTCTCCTGGTCCAGAGCAAAGAAGTATGAAGAAAACCAAAATTCATGGAAATAATTAGTCCTAGAGACTGGTATACCATCCGATCTGCAGCCTATACAACTATGAGACCAGAAGAACTAGATGGTGCCCGGCTACCACTGTCATCCACTTGGAAGGGGATCTATGTAGGAGATCCTTGATAGAGAGGGAGAACAATGTGGAACAAAACTCAAAATCATTTGGAGGAAAAAAAAAAGGGGGGGGGGTACCAGGTTTGCGGTCCAATAGAGCCTGGTGGAACCACTGAGACTATGGCCCCTAGCAGCCCTTCAGGTCTGGAATTGAACCCACACCTGTGCTTTCCAGCCAAACAAAAGACAGGCATATGAGTTGAACATTTACCTCAGGTAGATACACTCCTTGGAGAGAACAATCATGGGGGAAAGAAGGGCTGCCTATGCACAGGGAGACAGCTCAAGGGGCAGGAGTGCATGGAGGGATGGACACAGGGAAGAGGTAACTATGGGGAGGAAGTGGGATGGGAGCTGTTGCATTGTGGTAAACTGTGGTCAATGTCATGAGACAAAGTGTATGTGAACTGCTGTATGGAAAGTGAATTTGCTCTGTAAATCTTCACCCAAATCACAATAAAAAAAAAAAAAAAACAGTGCTGCGATGAAAATAATAGTAATAATAATTTTTCAAAGCAACACACCTAAAGATATTATTTGACTACTAACCAGAAGGCTGGCAGTTCAAACACACCAGCCACTCCTCAGAAAGAAGATTGGGCAATCTACTTCCGTAGAGATACCGCCTCAGAAACCCAAGGAGGGGTCAGTATGAGTCCAACAGACTCGACTGCAGTGAGTTTGTTTTTTTCGGTGATAAATTCTACCCAGTTTTTATTCAAAATTATGCATCATAGTGCAATTATTTAATTAATGACAAACAGCGCCCCCCTTTTCTTACTCCTTCTGTACATAAACAGAAGCATCCATGGTGGCACAGTGGTTAAGCACTCAGCTGCCAACCAAAAGGTCAGTGGTCTGCTCCACAGGACAAAGATGTGGCTGTCTCCTTCTGCATAGATTACAGCCTTGGAAACCCTATGGGGCAGTTCTACTCTGTCCTATATGGTGGACATGAGTCAGAATTGATGGTAATGGGTTTGCTCTTATTTTTATACATAAACAGTAAGAGTATGATGAATTCCTGGATTGTTGACTTTGCTTGGTATAATTATTTTATTAAAGGCTTTATCTGTATTACTCCTATATAAAATAACATGAAATTTAGTTTCCAGTCTTCTAACCACATATACCGAAATCTAGAGATTGTAACAATTGAACGGATTGGGTACAAGATCATGGTTTACTCACCCAAATAGCAAAACACTTAATAAAAGATAGAAAACATCCCCATGAACCCCAGAGAGCAGTATGATACCATGACAGGAAAGTATAAAATGGGTTGAGGCATCCCTACTATACAGATTTCTTGATTAAACAGTGGTGACACATGTGAGCTTAGACCTAAAGGGCATTTGTTTTGATGTGTTTTCGCTTGTATTTTCCAAACTGGTTCAGTTCCTGATTCCACACTGCTATTGTGTGGATCGAATAATCCCTCGTCACAAAAATACCCTGGGGAGTGACTGCCCTGGCGTCCAGGTTATGAGTGTGGTCAGTCATCCCACATGCCTGAAGGATGAGCTATCTTTACCATGATGAGAGATTTCCTTTTCAAGTTTTGTAATCCCCAAACACAAAATACTATCACCAATAAAATCAAAGTAATGAAGGATATGTATATTGCAACCTTGCTCAAGATAGCACTGAAATTAGTTTTATCTTTTTTTTTGCTTTTGTTTATTTAAAAAAAAAAAAACCTTTTTATATTATTACTGACTTAATACAAAGAGGAAATCTTAAAATATATCTCCATGGCAGTGAGGTATTTTTTGTTTGTTTGTTTTTTGTTTTGTTTGTTTCGTTTTTTTAGTTTTTAACGTTTTCAATGTGAATCATAACAGGCATTTAAAAATATATCTTTGCCATGTACACACTGGTTATGACAATTCTAATTTCCTTCTTCGTGCCTTCATAGTATCATAAAACAACTTGGCGGAGGGAGAAAACAACAACAAAAAACCAATTCTGGGCACTTTTTTCCCTTTTTCTTTCAACCTCTCATTGTGTCTTCCCGAGTGAGATCATGTGTACAAAGAATAGGACTCACTTTATGTTCATGATCTTCTAACACATCAGAATATTCTTGATTTTCCTTGCGCAGAGGTTTAGTTCACGGAGTATGATAGCTCAGTCCCAGGCTCCCTCTGGGCGTTAGACAGGGAACCAGTCCTCTCCCGGATTCCGGGCCTTCTCCAAAACCCAGCCCTCGTCATCCCAGACACCAAAGGAGCCGCTAGGTTGGGAAATGCCGCCTGGTGAGGTTCCAGGACACACGGCACTGTCAATTTCTTTAAGGATGACGGAGTTAGAATACCTGCCCTCCCTACCCTTTTCTTCCCATCCTTTGCTCCTGGGATTGTACAAGTTGCCTGCAGGAGAGTCAAATACGGGTCAGGCGTATTCTTTCCAGCCACCGTAACCGGATCGCTGGAGCGAAATAAACTCGCAGACGCCTCCAGAGACCGCAGCCACAGCGCCAGCCTTCGCTAAAAGCAACTTCTAAGTGTAGCTGCAAGCGCCGCCGGACTGCAGATTTTAGTTCCTGGCTAAGCACCGCTACGACAACCCACCCCCCAGAAAAGAATGTCTGGAGGAGGGAGCGAGGATGAGGCGAAAGCCGCCCGCATTTTTGCACGTCGGAGTCCACCAGAAAGCTCTGCAGCTTTAGGAGACGGAAGGGAGAGATTTACAAATGCCAGGAGCCACGGTTTCAGGGAGACAGTGAGGAGGAGGCGAGGGGAAGGGCCCCTCCGCCCACCTCCACCCCCACCCGCGCGCCCTGACAGCTGTCCAGCTCTTGGAATTCATTGGCTTCCCCCATCCCGCCTCCCAAATACCACCCCAATCCAGTTTAGCCCCCCGCCCCACCCTCGCTGACCTAATAAGGCCATGCAGTGTGCTGGGGGGAACCTATATAAAAGGCACCGCCTCGCGCGGACTCTGCACGACGCCGAGCGGAGAGGGCAAGAGACGTCCAGCGTCGACAAGGACAACCATGGCCAAGGAGTGGGGCTACGCCAGCCACAACGGTGAGTGCAGGCAGCTGCGATCCGGGGCCGAGCGGGTGCCAGCGGAGCCCCTTGGCATCATACGTAGTCGGCAACTCTGCGGAGTAAGGTGGCAAACGTAGGCTTACAAGTGGATGGCCTTGCCATCTCCACCTTCCTCTCTTAACCTGTACTTGGCAAGTACAGGCAGGCCCTTTAACCTTCATCTCACCTAGTTCTACCTATTCTTAAGTCCAGTGAATGAAACTCATGCCCAGAGAGGTTTGGTAACTTGCCCAAGACCACATTGCTTCTGATTGGGAAGTCAGACAACCTGATTTCCAGTTCTGAAGGTCACTCATTTTCTATGACAACTGGACAAGGAACTCACCCTCTGTGAGCCTGGAGTTGGTGTAAGAAATCCTGCTTTAACTCTCTATGAGATGAGCATGAATGTGCATTGAAAACCACAAAGGGATGCTCAAATATATGTGGTCCATGTTGTTTTATTCCAGCTATATGGCAGTGGCATTGGTTTAAAAAAAAAAAAAAAAGTGAAGTCCATTTAGAAAATAAGCCTTTGAGGTTATATTCCTGAGCTAGACAGAGGGAATACATCAAGTTAAATAGAGTCTCTAGGTAAACTACTAACACAGCTATGAACAGGTCTTAAAGGTTAAGCCTGTATTGTCCAATCTGAAACCAAAGACATCTTTGCAATCACTGTGGTTTAGTTGATTAGAAAGTGGCATTGGGTAATGCTACCAAATAAATAAATCCCCTCAACTTTACTTCCTAGGGCCTGACCACTGGCATGAACTTTACCCGATTGCCAAGGGGGACAACCAGTCGCCCATTGAGCTGCATACCAAAGACATCAGGCACGACCCTTCTCTGAAGCCATGGTCAACAACCTATGACCCCGGCTCTGCCAAGACCATTCTGAACAATGGGAAGACCTGCAGGGTGGTATTTGATGATTCTTATGACAGGTCAAGTAAGTATGACAATTTGGTAGAATCACATGGACACTTCCAGCGTACCTATAGGGAAAATGTGATGTATGACACAGGGATGGGGCAGTTCATCTCTGAAATGGAGATGATATTGGACTTTGTTTTAGTTGTGAATTATATTTATGTACTGAGAGGAAAGTCTCACCTTCCAATCTTGGGCAATTTGCTGCCATAGAATGGCCCAATGCCCAAGCAAAAAGTTGACAATGCATTCCTGAGAGAGAACATGGGTCAGGCAGTGATGGCGATGAATCTGAATGAATATTCCTCAGTGTTCTGATGGCCTCCTGCTGAGGGCTCTTGCTTCTTTCCAGGGTCTGGAGAGCAAGGCTCCCTCTTTCAAGTATAGCAGAATCCACTTTACAAAGCAAGGAACATAGCAAAGAAATGAAATGGGCACTTTCTTCCCCTAACCTGGGAGGGTGCCAATCCAGAGGAGATAATAGGGGCCATTGTATGAGTCAGGACTTTACTTCCATGCTTCAACCACAGTTTTCTCTCAAATATTGCAGGGTTCATCTGATTAATGTTCAAGTATCTGACAATTTCTTCTTGAGTAGTATCTGTGTTTCTAAAACTGGAACATTATGTGTTTCAGAAAACCCCAAACTTGCATTTTACCTGCACCATGAAGCAAAATAGTGAAATAATAGAAAGCTAGAAATAGAAATGTTGTATTTCACTATAAATGAAATAAGGCTCTTTCTTTAATATGCTTAATATAACATACAATTTCTTATATTCACCAACCCTATTTGATAAAGTTAAAATGATTATAATTATTGATGTACATGAGTGAATGTTATTAATGATGTAGTGAAGAGTAATAGAGGCATAATTCCTACCTACTGGGAAGTTCAAAGTAAGGACTATGATAGAAATTTCTCTTTTCTTTAAACAGTGGGCTTATTTTGCTTTCTATTTCTTTCCCTTCCTTGCCCTGTTTGCATTAAGCTCCATGTGGAGGGAAAAGAACAAAATTAAACAATATCTATTAGGTCAAACCACATGAAAATGCCATTTTTGTAGACCAAAAAAAAAAAAAAAAGGTCGAATATTGTCAGTTTCATATGATTTATCCTAAGAAACGAGACTCGTATGTCCAGAAAATAACTGTGCCTAATGGTTGGGTAAGAAAAATACTGTGAATCAAGATTCCTCATGTCTGTGTGACTGAGCTCATACAGACCAAGGACTACTGTTCAGATCTGCACTATAGTGTCACTGTGCCAATCCTTTCTAGAACAGCTACCCTCTGAATTCTATTTCAATCTAGTTTATATAGTTAAATCTCAATTTTAGGGTTTCTGCATAGTTTCCTAGTGTTCTTGGGAAGATATTTGAACTTCTAAATTATTTCACAGGCTGAATGAATTGAAACTAAGGGTGGGCTGAAGTATTTTATAACAAACCCAAATTGGTGCTATCAAAAATGATCTAGTTTAGCTGCCTACATTTCATCTCATTTGAGCAGACACAGTCTAAACTGCGCTTGGATTAAAATGATTGCCCGTAGTCTTAAAGAAAAGTGTAGTTGGAAGCAAGACATAGAGAATGAGTTCACATTTGCTCCGTGACTGCTGTGCTGGACACTGATGGGGACTTGAAGGTGCTTAATCCTATTTAATCCTCACAGCAGCTCTGAAAGGTTGGCATTATTATCACCCTCTTAGAGATGCGAAACAGGTTCAGAGAAGTGTAGCAACTTGCCTCAGATCACACAACTAGCAAGGAACGGAGCCAAAATTGATTTGGCTGGCTCTCAACTGTCACATGTCCTTCCCATTGTACCACATTAGTAGTGACCTGCTCTTTGTTGTATGCTTAGTGTCCTTCTGTTATTTTAATTTTATATTCATAAATGTTAAACTGACAGTTGAAAAATAATAACACAATCAAACAAAACAACAAAGACAGAAAAAAAAATCATTTAGTGACATATCCCGAGACTTCATTTTGTGAGGAGATCAGGGTGCTTGGGAACAGCACCACCCATCCAGCAGACTGACTGCATTTGCCCATCAAACGTTGGCTGTAAGAGCACTTGTTGAAAGGAGGGCTCTGTAAGAAAATTCATGAATTCTCTGTTGACCTGGCTTCTCTGAATCACAGTGCTGAGAGGCGGCCCTCTCTCTGGACCCTATCGGCTTCGCCAGTTTCATCTTCACTGGGGGTCCTCTGATGATCATGGCTCTGAGCACACCGTGGATGGAGTCAAGTATGCAGCGGAGGTAGGCAGAACTGCTGTGAATCGCACACAATGAAAACTAAAAGCTGAAAAATAACCTCTACAGCAGCAAAACAGCACTCACTGCTTCCCCCTCAAGCCTGTGCTTGTGGAAAGAACTGGAGTAGTTTGAGCATGGAGTCTCTGGATGGTGCAGTCAGTTAATGTGCTTGGCTGCTAACCAAAAGGCTGGCAGTTTGACTTCCCCAACACGTGCCTTGGAAGAAAGATCTGGTGATCTAGTTCTGAAAATCAGCCATTGGAAACGCTATGACACAATTCTATTTTGATACACATGGAGTTGCCATGAGTCGGAATTGAATCTGTGGCAACTGGTCAACTAACTGGTTTAGTTTTAGCATAAGCTGACATGCCAAACATTGTAGGTTAGACAGTTAAGAAAGTGTGAGTTAGCATCATGTATGAAGACTTCCAAAGCTATATTAAGAAACTGGATAGCAGCTTAATAGAAAACGGCAGAGTCCTGAATGGAACTGCAAAGATAAGGATAGCTGACACTTCTCAAATGCTTACATGTTAACTTAACTCATTTAATCCTCCCAGCAACCGTATGATAGGTTACAGATGAGAAAGTTGAGGCACAGAAAAGTTACATAGCAAAGTCACATGGCTGATAAATGCTAGACCTACTGTTCTACCTTATGCAGATTGACTTCAGAGTCCCTTGGGAGCAAACACTACTATTGATTAACTCATTAAAAAAAAAGTGTAATTTGTAGTGCAGATCAAGCCATCAGCACGCTGTCTTTACAAAGCCAGCCTCTAACGGGGGCATTGTAAGGAGATGCCCTGGCTGTGAAGAAGGTTTCCTTTTACCCCAGGTTTTCCAAGGGGAGGCTCTCACAAACATAGGGGCAGATGAATGGCGCTGCCACAGGAACCTGGAACCATGTGTGGATGCTCTTTCAGCAGAATCATTAAACCCAGTGCTCTGGAGTCGACTCATAGCAACCCTATGTGACGGAGTAGAATGTTCTTGTAGGGTTTCCTAAGACTTTAATTTTTACAGAAGCCAACAGCCACATCTCTCTCCCACAGAGTGGCTGATGGGTTTGAATTGCCGACCTTCCATTTAGCAGTCGAGTACTTAACTGCTGCACCACCAAGCCTCCTCCAGCAGAATCATTGGGCAGGTTAATTGTTGGTTTAAAGTAAACTCTAGACCTAAGTGCTTCACTGTGATCTTTCCATTTCTACACAACTAACGAAAAGCACCAAAGGCAGGATGACTTCGTTATTGAAAACACCTTCTAGATATTCTCCCCCACAAATGGGGAGAGTTTAGTGTATTTCTTGCAGATGGGGCCACCTTTGCCTGTTGGATCATTTGTTGGATCATTTAATATTTTTTATCTTGAATGCTTTAACTGTTGTGAACTATTGTATTTTCTTTCCACTTTGTATAACTCAATGCATGAGGTTGGCCTAATACAACTACCCACTGCCATTGAGTCAATTCCAACCCATGGCAACCCCCATTGGGTTTCTGAGGTGGTATCTCTACAGAAGTAGATTGCCCCGTCTTCCTTCTGCTGAGTGACTAGTGGGTTTGAACAGCTAACTGCACTACCAGAGCTTCTTAATACAACTAGTGCCCATGTTCTAAATCAATATAAGGTTGCCACCGACATATAAAAGGACATAGATATATGGAAGTGCCCAAGAATATTCCCCCATAGTTTTCCTCCTTAATATTCCTATTAATTGTAACCTCAGGATGTTAGCAGCTTCCTATTTATAGCTCTATGCTTCACTATTTGACTTAGAAAAAGAAGTAATATGATACAAAACTAAAATAACTATTTTGAATAGGCATAACAAAAAGTAGTTTTTATAAATTATTCATTATGTTATATATCTATTTATCATATCTATATATTTTGATTTGAACTATTAAATATTTCACCAAAATAACACTTGTGAATATTTAAAATTTTATCTACTTTTATGAGTGTTCAGAAACCTTAGACTGTACAATCATTGGGTTTATTGTGGATAATTTTAAACTTATCCTTTCTTTGGTGCATTTTCCTCATAACTTGCATTCTGTGGTTCCAGCTGCATTTGGTTCACTGGAACCCAAAGTATAATACTTTTGGGGCAGCTCTGAAGCAGCCAGATGGAATAGCTGTGGTTGGCATTTTTCTGAAGGTAAGATAAACGTTGATCATACTTTCTCTTTCAAAAGTTAGCTCTTTATTGGGCAAGGTTGTAGTCACGGCTTGGTCACAGCCAGCTACCCAGAGGGACCGGGTAGTTGAACCTGTGGGCTCAGGACCATAGTCGCAGAGGACATCAAGCTCAATTGGCATAACATACTACACAGAACATTGTTCTACCTTCTACTGTGGCGAGTAGCAACTGGGATCTTAAAAGCTTGCAAGCTGCCACCTAGATGCAATGATGGGTCTCTCCTCATCCAGAGCCAAGAAGAATGAAGAAAACCAAAAATTCATGGAAACAATTAGTCCTAGCGACTGGTACGCCATGTGGTCCGCAGCCTATACGACTATGAGACCAGAAGAACTAGATGGTGCCTGGCTACTACTGTCAACCACTTGGAAGAGGATCTATGTAGGAGATCCTAGATAGAGAGGGAGAACAATGTGGAACAAAACTCAAAATCATTTGGAAAAAAAAGGGGGGGGGACCAGGTTTGCTGGTCCGGTAGAGCCTGGTGGAACCACTGAGACTATGGCCCCTAGCTGCCCTTCAGGTCTGGAATTGAATCCATGCCTGTGGCTTCTAGCCAAGCAATAGACAGGCATATGAGTTGAACATTTACCTGAGGTAGATACATTCCTTGGAGAGAATGATCATGGGAGAAAGAAGGGCTGCTTATGCACAGGGAGACAGCTCAGGGGGCAGGAGTGCATGGAGGGATGGACACTG